AGCAGGTCAAAGGTCAAACGTTTCTCTTTGATAAATGATTTGACCTCTACTTCCAAAAAAAGTTGACTCCAGAAGTGAAATGTAGAAATGTTTCAAGACAACCGTTTTAAACTTGACACGACCAGTGTACACCTCAGTCATAGGATGTTTCTGTTGCTACGGTTACTGTTAAAAGAAAGTCAATATCATTTTTGTCAGTCAATCATTGAATATCTTTGAAGTTTATTTCCATATGGTACACTTTGTTTGGCCTGTTATATCATTTCTGCTCCTACAGGCACAATGAAAGTGTGTATTTATTATTATCGCGGTACTCTTTTCTTCTTCTTGTGTTTTAGTTTTTCTCTCGTATCAATATGAAATGTGTGTTCTGTGCACGGCCTGAATGCAACATGATCTACTTGTTGTTTGATCTGAAAGGCCATTCTGAAGTAAACAGGAAGTTAGTTATGTTCAATGATATGAAAGAGCAAAACAAAACTTGGAAACGTTAAGTTACATTACTCAGAAACCTGTTTTATTTCCTTTTCTTAAACATATCCGTTCATATCTGCTATTAAAATGTCTAACTGGATAAAACTATGATACCTGTAATCTGTGCCTGGATTAGGACAAATACATGTCCCTGCTGCAATGTCACACATAAAGGTCTGTTTCCTTATAGGAGCACTATTCTCTGAATTCTAAGAAAATACAATATGCTATTGAGTTGCATTGTGGGTATTGTTTGAACGTAGGGGAACATATAGGTGTAATTTAGATAGACGAATACAAGGGATTCAAATCAGGATGTATCTTGGATCTGCTGAGTTAACTCTCATTGTTGTTTCTGTATGCGAGTCAAATGCTAAATCCAGAAGCACCCCTTAGATACCTTTTCCAATACTTTTTCAAAAAGAAAGTAGAGAAAGGTCGAAGTTGATGCAGCAGAGACTGATATCCTGACAGAAAACCAAAAGTGTGAGGGAAGACGAGTCCTGCCTGCCAGAGACAGCTCTGATGCCCCCTTGTGCTCTACTCCTGATAGAAGTTATTCTAAATATGATCATTAAATCCTATAACAAATAAGCAACAATAAGTTATTAGCAAAATATGCTTCCCTAAAGATTTAAAAAAAAAAAAAACTGAAATTAATGATGGAGGGTTTTTATTAATAAACACTTTAATTACGGAATGTCCTTTCTCTAAAGTAAAATACAATGTATTAAAACCAAGCAATAAAACCTCGTATTGTGAAAAGACCCATTATCAAGTTCAATTTAATTATACAATTACTTTTGAAAATATATATTTTGATTGTGTATCCAGGTACAGATTCCTTTAATTACATGTCATATGGATATTGGCACTAGAGATACATCTATGCTTCTGTTAATGCAGAAAAAAGAAAGTGTCTCTTTTAAGGATGGATTGTGACCTTAAACACAACCTGATTCTCCAAAGCGTCAAAGCACTGATGTCATCGAAGCTTCATCACAAGGAGACGCCGTGTTTGAGGCCTCCGGGGTATTTCTAAGAGCAGGGGATTACCCGGACACATAATTCAAAAGTTGTCATTTAATATTTGATGGAGTCTGACTGCAGATGGTGATCAGGTCATCCATCAGAAGCACCTTCTAGGTTTAATTAGTATTTGATCAAGAGCGGTTAATCTTCTGTCTAAAACCAAATCCTCCTGCTTCAGAACACATTGGCTTTGTATCGTATGAACAAATGAAAATAGAAATCTGTCTCTTGTGGTTAGTCTTATTACATCCAATCGACACAATCATGTAGAGATCCTATTGAATATATAGTCATTGTTAACATAAACAGTACGAAGGCTCTAACTTTAACGGTAATGTTCGGACATTTTGAACTAAAAGTTGCCGTCAGTGCGGAGATGCTTTGGAAAACTCAGGCTGCAGACTTAAATCAAATAATGTTTCCACAATTGGATAAGCTTAAAAGAGGAATCTAAATTAAAATGTCAATCGATCCATTCTGTGCTGCAGAAGGTCATGTGACTCAGCTTCAGGCAGAACACCATCATGTTTCCTCTGTGCTCTCATTGGTCAGCCATGCTGCACCGGACGGTTTGATGAAGCTCCCTCATCTTCATCTTCTTCTGTTTATCTGTCACTGTGTGTCCTTCCTCCTCCTGTCTGTAAATCTGTCTTATAGCTGATGTTTATGAAGATGCGGATCTATTTACGAAATAAATACATTTTTAAGAAACACTTCTGTGGTGTGCGACTGTTCTTTTAAAATGTTTTTTTTTTTTTTTAAAGTAATGGAATAGTATGTTGTATTTCAAATAAGGTCAGGGAGGCTGTGGCGCAGTGGACTAGTGCCTTGGTGTTCAGATCAGGGGAGCACAGGTTCAAACCCCACTGCAGTCAGCATGTCGTTGTGTCCCTGGGCAACACACTTCACCCCAAATTGCTCCTGTGGGGATTGCCCAGTGTTGAATATGTAAGTCGTTTTGGATAAAAGCGTCTAACAAGTGACATGTAATGTAAAGTCTGAATATAGTGCCGTATAAAAAGTAATGAAAAAGTTATAGTATGCCATAATAAATGTAAAAATGAAATGTATTAAAAAGATAATACCATTTCATAAAGAACTTCTTAGTATTGTATGCACTAAAGTCAAAATCTAAAATAATATTTTAGAATAGTACATCCAAAAATGTCATACACTATGTTTTAAGAAATTCAATTATATTTCAAAGGATATAATTGGCATTCAAAAGTGATACTACAGTATTCCATAAAATTATCATTAAAAATAACATAGTATAGGAAAAAACTAAAGTGTAGTAGCAGGTCATAAAAACATGTTCTAAAAAGTCATAAACTAATATGGCATAAATAAATGTCGTAGTATGATATGCCATAGAAATTGCATAAAAGGTTAAAGTTATATCATGTTTTTTTGTGACATACAGTTGTATAGTACGTCTTACAATACATTACGTCACCCTATTTATGCTCTAAATATGTCATAAAAGTGTGCCATAAAATCATACAAATAGTAAAAATGTCATAATTTCATTGAAATGTAATAGAATAGAATGTAATAACAAAAAGATAAGAGTATTAGTCATATAAAAAAATATTATTTTGTATGCCATAAAAAGAATGTTAAAAATGGTCTGCCATAAAATGTTAACGTGTAGTCTGTAGGTCATGACGTCATTTTAGGGTCTGCAATAAAACGCCATAATATAGTTTGCCTTAATTGAGTACGCCAGGGCTTCTCAAACTCCGGACCAAGGTCCGGATCCGGACCGAACTGCAAATCAATCCGGACCGAACCCTGTGTCCCATTATTTAAAAAAATATATATATATTATAAAAAATTTAAAAAAAAAAGACTTTCTGAATCTGATGAAAATTAAAGTGAACCTATTATGCTATATTGGAAAAATATATTGTAGGGCCATACCTATACAAAACATGTCTGATCAGAATTCTACCGGAGATAAAGTTAAATTCTGCTGTGATAAAACGCCATCCTGTTCTAAACCACATGAAAGATTATTTCTGAAACAGTATCTCAAATGCTTTTTCTCTTGCGGGTTTATCACAAGTTGAGTTCCTTTTTTTATTTCCTGCTTTTTAAACACATGTGCTCTACCGTACAGGTTAGCTCTGAATGTTAGCGAGGCTTGCTAATGTAAACAAAAACGAGATTACGTCCAAAACACGTCAGGCATTGTTTCTGATAGCAACTCTCTGTGGGTCCTCTGTGCCGATTTGACGTCAGATTGGCAGCAAATCTGTATCCGCTCGTTGTACCCCTGTTTTTAAAGGATTTGGGTACGGAGGAAAAGAGAGAGGGTTTTATTTTCTGACGCTGCGTGAGTTCCCCGACGCACCGGGGACACGTATTTATGTATAACAGCATCACAAAGTACATTTTGCGTGATTGGTCCCCTTTAATGTATATTTTCTTGTGTCTGACGCGTTGTGAGAATGAACTTGCATATTTACTTGTGTGCGCAAGCGTGACACGCATTGCAGACCGCAAGTTAACCGCAAGTTTACCTTGACTTTCTAATGCTTCTAATGCCATTTTTGCCGAGGTTCAAGGCATTGGCTACAGACAAACAGTGCCATTTCTCCCACTAGTTCAAGCCATCATACTGTATGTATGTATTGAATGTGTGTGTGTATACAGGCGCGCCGTTTACCGACAGGCAAGTGCTTGGACCAGAAGGGGGCCCCCAAATAAAGTAGATTAATCCAATCAAATCCAACTTTATTTATATAGCACTTTAAAACCTCCAGACCAAAGTGCTGTACAGAGAGATACATAAAATATAAAACCACACAGCTCAGCTCACAAAACATTCAATAAATAAATGCATTTAAAATAAAAGATAAACACAAAACAAACCAGAATAAATGTAACAATTTCAAAATAAAATGTTCTTTAAAAAAAAAAAGAGAACAAAAAAAGATTAAGAAGGTCCACAGCAACGACAACATGGAACACCCTTTAACTTACTGCAACGACTTGTCGGGAAACCCCCCCCAGGCATTGCGCGCCAAAACTGCTTCTTAATTTCAGTTTTGTTGTTCCGCTCGGGGGGGACGGGACTTTACTGGCATTGATCCGGACCGTTGACCTTGTATAAGATTCACAAGTGGACCTTTAACAAAAAAGTTTGAGTACCCCTGGAGTACGCCATCAAATGTCATATCGCTTGTTTTATGACTTTTACTCATACCATTAAAATGTCATAGTATAGTACAGTACCGGTATATCTTTTAAAACCATTTCTTTAAAAACCTCATATTAGGAGGTCATCAAACTGTCAGATAAAATGTTCTAGTATGTATGCAATAAAAACAGGATGTAATGGTTTGTCATAAACGTATTGGGGGAATTAAGCACCGTTGACTCAAGGCGTGGTAGAGCTCGATACATGACAAAAGGATTAAGAGGAGAGGGAAATGTGTTAAACTAAGCAACCCACCTTCAAACACTTCAGGAATGACTTGACGCTGTGCATACTTTAGAAACATTTTTATTAAAGTATTTTCAATACAATATTTTCTAGTCATCTGTCACATCTGCAAAATGAACACAAGTGATCATCAGTTTAAATCTACAAGGCCTCAGAACACAAGTTAGTAAAAAAGAGAGCGATCAGCGGAAACACAGAAACCTCCTTCTGTCCGTGACACACAGGTCATACTTTACAGGGCATCATCAGACTAGGTCTGAGAAGATGGGAATCTTTTCTTCCTTTTGGAGTGTTGTTCTACCTTTCTCTTTTTGTCAGGCTACAATCTCTTCAACAACAACAACAACGGCTGAGCAGATCTGGTTTATTTTTAATAATAATCACACTTTCAGGGGAAATGATGAAGAGTAGGGAGTCGGTCTGGAAGCACAATTGAACAGTTTGCACTAATTCTGAAAGAACGGTTTCTGATTTCACACTTTATCAGATTTGCTTAAACACAAGTGTTTGATGTCGTCACCTTGTAAAGATCAAGAAATACTCACTGTCCTGAAAAAGACAACTTAAACTAACATCACTGACAGAAACAAAGAGAGGAGACATGGGGAAAAGGCAAACAATTACCAGAGCTTCATTGATTCAAGAACATAAACACACAAGAAAGAGAAATCAAAATAAAAGTGCTATTCTAAAGTGTGTATGGCAGCTGAGAGGCTGATGTGGTGTTTAGCGAGCAGCTGACACACAAGTGAAGCCCAAAAACATTTTAGGTGACTTTAGCAGCTTCTACCCTAACCCATAGGAGGGTTGGGTCCCGAGGGTTTTCTGTCTAATCCACTCACTCCAGATTCAGATCCTGTCTCATCTTCAGAACACTAACCATTTCCAGACTCCCTCCCCCTGCAGCTGTCTCACTAACTAGCTCCGCCTCCCTGCCACCTGTCAGTGTGTGTTTAGGGCGTGGTTGTTTTTCTGAGTCTGTTTACTGGCTGCTCCCTTCCTCCACCTCCTCTTCCTCCAGTTCGATCAGAGGAGCGTGCCGATTGGCCTGCGAGCCCTCGCTGAAGAAGACCCTCTTGATCACACCTGCCTTAGGGGCCCGGATCGTGTGCTGCGTAAACAGAAACAACTTCAGTACAAACGCAGCAGAGTGTGTGTTAAATGTGAAATGGTAGAGCGTGAGCGTGTGTGTGTGTCTCACCTCCATCTTCATGGCGTTCATGACCATCAGTGCGTCTCCGACAGCCACCGTGTCTCCGGCCTTCACCATCACCTGAACACAGCACAGAGTTGTTTTGGACAGAGGACACTCACTCCAGAGGATACATATGTTCATTTCAGGCAAACAACAACACTCAGTGGTGTCCCCATAAATCAAATTAAGGATGAAGACATTTGCATTTATTTCCCAGGTTGACTTGTTGTTAATCAGAAGGAGTGCATTACAGTGCTTATACAAACAACAACAATGTGTGTTATAATCGTCATTTATTCTATTCTGCAATTTCTATTTGAGAAAAAGCAGAAGAAGAAGAGGACTGAGCAGCTACAGCTAATTATTATAACAATTAAAAGTGTATCCTCACCTTCTCTATGGTCCCGGTCATGGGGGCCACCGCTCCGCCCTGGGCCCCCGCCCCGCTCACAGCAGCCAGGTACTTTGGGACAGGCACGGACACCTGGGAGCTGTCCTCCTGCAGAGAGGAGTTATAACATCTCTTATTTGGGGAACTGAACCTGCAGTAAGTCAACTGTAAACAGGGCCAGCTATCTAATAAACACATTTTAAATAGATTTATGAGTGAGAAACCATATTACTTAAAAGAGAAGAATGATCAATTGTTTAATCTTATGTGTTGCTACATTTACTTTAAGGGTTCCGTTTAGTTACCAGGTAAATCAAACCACTTAATGATGGTTTCCAGGATAATGCGACAAGCGTTTTTCACCTTTTTCTGAATCTAATGGACAACAAGTGTAATTCCTGAACTAAATAATAGGCAGATTAATCGATATAACAAACATGTATAAGAACAATTTGAATCGAAAACCGAAAGTGTTAATGCTTAAAATGTGCTAACCGACATGATGAGTAAAAATAAAAGTAGAAGAATGTGCAGCTACATGAAGGCGACTCCAGTTAGTGTTGGTAGGACGTACCGTGGAGAACAGATGCACCGTGCTGTCCAGGATCACCAGTTTGGGACGAGACTTCACGCCGTTGACAGAGCAGTGGAGGAACGACGCTCCACCTTCCAGCTCCACCTCCCCGGTCACATGGTACACCTCGTCGCCAAGCTGAAGGATTAAATATGTTAACATCACATGAAGGTTGAAAAACATTCCATACAGTTAATGAAAGGGATTTGCTGTTGATTCACCCTACTCTTTACCTTGTTCCTTAAAAACAACCACAGTGGTTTTAGGATTTAAACTCAAAAGTCCAGTTTTTCCTCTGGATTTTGTAAGAGTATCTCAAAGCCGTCATTAGTGAGAGGAGTTCAGGTACTCAGTTTCCTGATAAAGATCACTTTCAGATTGGATTCAAAAGGTCCAGAAAAAGCTAATTAGTTGCCCTTGATTCAGATGATTCTGTCCAACTGTTATTCCTGACGGCCATCAGGCATGCTCAACATTCAAATGAAAAAACGTTGAATTAAAGGAAAGTAAATCAAACTCATCATAACAATTTGAGCTCCAGCTAGTATGTCATAATACCAAAAGGTGAACTGCCACTTTGATAAAAAAACAAAACATGATAAGAGAGATTTATGATTTGAGATACAGGACACACTCTAGCTCACCTGCATTGTGTAGCTGCCATCTTTGCTGTACCCAACAACCACCTCCACTTCTAAAAGACAACAAAAACAAGAAGAAAACAGGTTTAAGAGGAGGAAAGTCATTTAAGGGGGCCTCTAGCTAACCATCATCACTGATTTACATTTGGCCTTTTGCAGTGACATTTAACAGGAACCCTGAATAATGAATATGAGCAGGGCTGCACATAACTCGTGCGCAGGTGCGCATTTGCGTACCAACATTGAGAGAGGGAGAGAGAGAAGAGAGAAGAGAGGAGAGAGGAGAGAGGAGAGAGAGAAGAGAGAGACAGAGAGATTTGCGAGTTGCATTTGAACTCGGGGCCGGCCCGTAGCACTGGCGTTATAACTTTTCGCCTAGGGTGCCAGATCTGGGGAGGCGCTGCGCTGGCAGCTCTGGGAGGGAAAACACATTTTTGACCGTTGGTGCTCATCCTAATTTTCGGCCTTGATGTAACAATATTCATAATTACGTAAATGTACCCTTTTCACCCCGGTTACATGTTTCATTTGCCTTGTACGATGGGCGCTGTAAGTGATGAAAATGGGGGATTTTGGCTTATCTGGCGCCCGCAGCTCACAGCCAAAGTGCGAGTGAGCGAGGGAGAGAGGGAGGGTGCACCGGTACCGGCTCTGTTGTTATTAGAATCTGGTGCTAGCTGCTTTAACGGATATAAGAAGAAGATGTGTTTACAATAATGTGGAGGGAGAGTCCTCTCCAGTCAGACTGAGAGGCTGATAACTACAGCTCAGTGAGGTAAAGGACTCTGAGTGTCTAGATAGTTCACTTTAGTCTAAGTTCAAACGGTTTGGTCACAATTTATGTAAACGCATATTTCCAAGGCACTCCTTTATAATTATTGGGATAAGGTTTGAAATCATTTCAATGTGTACTATAGGACAGTAACCAAAAATATCCTTTAAAACTGGAGCAAAACAAATGCATAAATAAATAAATGTTAAGGTAAAATAAGATATGAATGAACAACACAAATGAAATAAGTTACATTAATTTGTTATTGGCTATGGTAGGTTATTGGTTATGTTCACTGCATGTGTGTTCTGTGTTCACCTCTGCATGTGTGTTCAGTGCCGTGTGTCTGGCAAATAAAGTCAAGACCCCCTCAAAAGTTACGGTTTATTTCATTTTAAGGATGAGCACCACGCAACATCTCCAGGTGCTCCTTTGAGAACCAGGGCAAAAAAGTTATGTGCACCCCTGAATATGAGTTCATTACCAAACTGCCAGAGAAGATCAGCTCTGAACTTCATTATTCAAACAGTCATGAAACAGTGATGAGTCTCTGACTTTACTCATCAACATTTCCAACTTAAAGTTAAAGTAACTTATTTAAATCGCTTTGTAAGGAAATGAAAGTTAGAAAATAAAGTGTAGTAATCCTGCCATGAAAGTGCTGCAGTCCATAGAAAAAAACAAACAAATAAACACTATTTAAAAAATAAATAATGTAATGCATACGCTTGAGTATTTGCTCTTTTCCTTTGTCATAATAAATTCAATATATTTGGCATTAGTCTGTTGATGGGACCAAAAAAGGACGTTTTCTCCCTCTCTACTGTAACCCCTAGGGGGCAGTAAAGCCCACCATAGCCCTCTGACTTACTTTTGTCTCCCAGCTGTAGAGTCATGTTTCTGTTATACTGAATGTTGCTTCTCCAGCCACTGCTGGATCCGAACGGGGAGAAGGGGTCTAAAACAAACCCAAATCACGTTATTGCACCCTTTATATAAATGTTCAAATCAAACGTGGTAGATATGTGTTGTGGTGTTCTCCGCTCACCATTGGAGGCCTGTACAAACGCCTGTGTGTGTCTCTTCTCCTGCAGCACCAGGCCCAGGGCCGCCTGGCAGATGGTCTCCCCAGAGGGAGCCCTGGGAGCGGGGAAGAGGTCGGCGTAGTACTGAGGGATGAAGCTGGTCGTCACGTTTCCAGCCTCAAACTCAGGGTGACCGGAAAGACTCAGCAGAAAGTCAATGTTAGTGTTCAGTCCCACGATCTGAGGACAGAGGAGGCAGAGACAGTTAAATCACAGAACCATGACTTATTGTAGGCAATTTTGCATTTATTTGTTGTAACACTTTAGTTAACTGCTTTCATATCTTTTACACATCAACATGTGTCCCCTCTGTGGAAAGACATTCTGGAAGTTTCAGAAGAAAAAATTCACTCTTTTTGTCCTGATCCATTTCTATAAAAACCTGTCTGAAAATGAGCTGATCAGATTTTGGCTACTTTATGATGTCATAACGTTTTTTTGGCTTGTCTAACCATTAGCCAATCACCAACCAAGGTAACTCCCCACCTTATCACCTGAATCTCCTCCTAGAGCACCATTGTGTTCTTTTTAACCAAATATCTCTCAGAGGGGCGTGGGGAGGGGTTCCTTATTTTCATCTAAAGAAACAGACAGAGAATCAGCACTTTTGAAACAGGGCTGAAACAGAGGGGATTGTGGGATGCTGCAATGATCTGTTTGGTGTTTGGAGCCAAACACTTCAGAGACATGTTTTGTATATATCTGAGACCTATAATATATTGATGAAAAACAGTATAATATGGGACCTTTAATAGTTACTGTATTTGTTTCACAGGTTTAGTTGCACGACATGCATAGCATCATCTGACTGTGTGTGTGTGTGTGTGTGTGTGTGTGTGTGTCTTACATTGTATTGGCGTAAGCAGTACCGCAGCTTCTTTAAAGCGGCAGAGCGGTCTTCCCCCCACACCACCAGCTTCGCAATCATGGGGTCGTAATGTGGCGACACCTCGTCCCCTGAAAGACAAACGCACGATAAAGGGGCAAAAAAAGGATTTTATTTGTCACTTATTCAGAATGATTTACTCTAGCTCTTTATAGCTACCATGACCTTTGTTCTCTGTACGTTTAAATCAATACCGTTAAATCAGGCAACGTCATAAAGGACTCTAAATCCTGTATCGTTATATAAAGAATTGAAACCCTCAGTATAAAAACAACCAATCAGATCTTGACTTCTCACCTTCCCTGACTCCAGTCTCTATGCGTGTGTGTTGGTCTGCAGCCGGGGTGGAGAGGTGCAGCAGAGGCCCCGCCCCTGGGAGGAAGTCGTTGTTGGGGTCCTCGGCGTAGATCCGAGCCTCAAAAGAGTGTCCCCTCAGAATGATGTCATCCTGGAGGAGAGGCAGGCGCTCTCCTGCTGCCACCTGGAGGAGATTTACACAGAGTGTTGATGTGACTGAAAATGTAATTCCTTCAGATAAAAAGAAAATGTTTTGGAGCACATATTCCTCCCTCTTTCTTTGCTCTCTCCCTCCTGTCTCACCCTGAGCTGCCACTCCACCAGGTCGGTCCCAGTGATCATCTCAGAGACGGGGTGCTCCACCTGCAGCCTGGTGTTCATCTCCATGAAGTAAAAGTTGTGCTGGGCGTCCATTATAAACTCCACCGTCCCTACACAGGAAGACAAACAATACGATGTTGATACGCCGTGTGTTGGGGGTGAGGGGCTGTGGGGCGGTGTGTGCAGGGGTCTCACCTGCCCCTACGTAGTTGACAGCTTTGGCAGCTTTAACTGCTGCCTCTCCAAGTTTCCTCCGAACCTCAGGACTAATGTCAGGCTGAAAACAAAACAAGGAAATGAAAATACGTCAAAACATTCAATAATTGACACAAATATATTCCAGTCATCATATCTGTTTAAAACTATGGATAAATGCGAGAGGTTTACACTATAGCTTTTTATAGTCTTTTTTTAAACAAGTGCAGCAGTAAACTCCATAAACCTAGCTCACTAACATATTAAAAGAAAGACAGACACGTGTCCTCTACCAAGAAAGAAAGAAGAGTAGTAGATTTCATATTTTAACTTGTATATGTGTACACATGTATATCATTTTGTTTATCTGTGTGCGTATTCTTTATCCTGCAACTGGATGCCTAACGGGAGGGCTACCTCTGTATAATCTGTGCTTTCTGCCCTCCCGCTTCAAAAAAACACTTCATTTTTACCAACATATTTAATGACTTCATACTCTTTGGAATAGCAGAACCACTTCCTCTGATCCAACAATAAGACCAGGGGATTATTCCCGGAACATGTCCTAAACCTCAAGTCAGGTTCACTTCGGCTAATTGTAGCAAATCCACATTCAATTTCAAAAGAGATTTGCCTGTCAGTGTTACAATTACATTGAATGTATGTATGAGTCTGTATTGATTTAGCTCACCCCCGGCGCCTCCTCTATGATCTTCTGATGTCTCCTCTGGACGCTGCAGTCTCTCTCAAACAGGTAGACAACGTTACCGTGCATGTCCCCGAAAACCTGCACCTCCACGTGTCTACAGGAGACGGACACATTCAAATGTGAATCAATGTGTTAATAAGCATGGAAAGGTGGTCAAACTAGCACTAACTGATTGAGTCAAATGTATTAGTTATTAAACATAACTTTTACCTGGGATCCTCTACAAATTTCTCAACCAGCATGACATCATCGTTGAAGGATTTTCTGGCTTCTCGTCTCGCAGACTCCAACTGTTCCAAGAATACTGAGTCTGACCGTGCGATACGCATTCCCTGAACACACACACAGTTATTCCATGTTTTCTGAAGTTTCTTTGTCAAAGTTATTTAGGCGTTTTGGCATCCTCTCACCTTCCCTCCTCCTCCACGGACTGCTTTAATCATCACAGGGAATCCTATCTGGGCCGCCTCTGCTTGCAGTCTCTCATTTGATTGTTCCTCTCCATGGTAACCACCAATGATTGGCACCCCGGCAGCTGACATGATGTATTTGGATGTGCTAAAAAAGGAGAAAGCATTTAAAATGAGAAAAAGTTAACAATTATTGCTATAAGTGTCAAAGTCAATTTTACTAGAGCAAATTCACAAATTACATTCCTAATTTATTCTATTTATTTATTTTCTTCGCCTAAAAGGGACTTTATAGTTTGTAGAAATAGACTGTCTTTGGACCCTCAAAGCAGATCAAAAACCTCCACATAAAAGACTGGGGAAGAAACTTTAGTAAGAGTAAATGATGCCTCCTTTTGATACCACAAATAATGAATCATTCTAAATAACTGTGGAAAATATGAAAATGTGTTACCTTTTAATGCCCATGTCTCGGATGGCAGAGGAAGGTGGCCCAATAAATATGATGCCTTCCTGTTTACACGCCTCCGCAAACTCTGTGTTTTCTGACAGGAAGCCATAGCCAGGGTGGACAGCCTGCACACACAAACACACATGTGTAACAACGTCAAAGTCCCTTGAGATTTCAACGGGAAATAAGACGCAAAAGGAAAGGTTGATAAGACCTGAAAAGAATTATCTCCCATTTTATTTAAAATACTTCAAGTAGGGGGTTACTCACATGTGATCCAGACTTCTTTGCCACTTCCAAAACTTTCTCCATCGACAGGTAACTCTCCTGGGAGGGGGCGGGGCCGATATGATAGGCTTCATCTGCCTACAAAAAACAAAAACAAAGAGAAAATAAGAAAAAGACAAAGTCTGAGAAGCAGATGTGTACACATTCTGAAGACACAGCTTTTGCAAGACTTAAATCAGCCATCATCTCACCATGGCCACGTGCATGGAGTCTCTGTCTGCGTCACTGTACACAGCCACAGAGCGGACGCCCATCTTCTTGGCCGTGCGCATCACACGACACGCAATCTCTCCTCGATTGGCAATCAGCACCTTCTCTATCCTTCCCACCTCTGCAGAAAGACACAACAGACACTTTAACGATGAATAATGGACTACAATTTGACTTTACAGCAGTCAACACCTCACTAACTAATTCAAAACATTTTATAGGGCTTGCAGAAACCACTATCCAATCTCTTAAGAAAACAAATGTGCTACATACTGATCAAAAAAAAAAAAAAACTGTAAACAATTACAGCACAGACAATGGTTTGATCCACAGTGCAAACCAGATACTACAAATAACACATCAGTCAGATAACTAATCGGCAACTTTTTGAATAATCCAGTGTTTCCCATAAATTGATTTATTTGTGGCGGGCCGCCACAATTAAATATCGTCCGCCACAAATGGGTCTCATAATTTTTTTAAAAAATTGTTATTATTATTATTATTTTTTTTTTTGGTAGTCTAATGGATAGTGAAGTGGGCTGATGATCAGAAGGTTGAGAGTTCAAATCCTGCCTGGAACACCACTACTAGTGTGCCCTTGAGTAAGGCACTTAGCCCTCGGTTACTCCAGGGAGAATGTCCCTGTAATTGATCATTGTAAGTCGCTTTGGAATAAGGCGTCTGCGAAATGCCTGAATTGTAAATGATATTTTTGGGAGAATAAACCCCACAGATCCTCAACTCTGGTGTGTTTCACTCATTAACAACGCAACACAGAGCAACAAGATCGTTGTCAGTAGCCATGAACTCGCATGTATTATCTTATTTGAGGGGGGGGTGGATGCATGGACCACCCGAATAGGTCAAGGGGCCTTTGGCTTTTCTTGCCGGGGGGGGTGCTGTGCCCCCACAAATAGAATCAAATTATGTGGGAAACACTGTAATCAATGACTGGTTTTAGTCATTTGACAATAAAAACCCAATATCATCTATGCCATCAGCTTTATAACACTAGAATGATAATATCTTTGAGCTGTGATAAAAATAAAACAGGCAATAACTAATTGAATTGTTGGGACTAGAATTGTTCTCTATTTTCTTAAGTTTAATAGACTAAATTAAATAGTTAATTAAATAAGCGGCTGAAACAGTATCTTTTTTTACTTTAAATAAATAAACTCCCTGCAAAAGATACATAATGGCAATATATAATTGTGGTATTTTAGTGCTTAACCTCAGACCATGACACCATAACTGGCTCCCAGAGGGGAGAGCTACAGTTTGAATACCAACAATATAAACATCTGTTAAATTGCAACACGTCCCCAACTGAGCCATGATTCTTCATACATGTGCATATTTCCTCCCTCACCTCCTGAAACGAACCTCACGCCTCTTTTGGTCCATGACAATTTTCTGAGGAGAAAGATGACAACAACTTCAGTGCCATTCAAATCTCTGCATGGGTATAAAGTGCGGAGAAGATGCTAAATAGACAAAAAACTTTTTTTTAAAAAGCACATACAGTTAAGAAAACTGTAGTCTTAATAAATAGGCTGAATGTGATACCTATAAAAGACTAGTGTCACAGGTAGAAACACAACAGAGTGCATGGTGTACAAGCAGCAACATTAGCCATGCTAGCTGGCAGTTTGCTACCTTTATTTAACCTTGCTCGGCTCTTATCTGTTCCATTAGCTCGCATAATGGTGAAAAACCTATTCAACAACACGTTAAGATTGACGGTAAAACAACGTCCTGTTGTCATGTCCAGCCATCACGAGCACCAGCGAATAATAAACAAAGTGATGCGTAGCAATGATAGCTGCACAAATGCATCCATGTTAGCTCAGACGTGGAATAGCATTGCAAACTTGAAAGCTAAAAAAAGGTCAAAAAGATGCTAGTTTGTGTAACACTACGTAAGAAGAGCAGACTGCTTTAGGCAACATCACAACTGACTGAATTGCTTAAATATACTCACTGTGTGAATATCCTCAGACCCTGCAGAGTTGGGAAACTCAGAATAACTGCAGCCATAGCTACCAGCTGCTGAGGTGATAGCTGCTAGCTAACTCACTAAATGACCAGCTGAGGAGGAAAAGGCGAAGTGTTATTATATTAAACAGTTCATACACAGTTTGGTGATGATTTCAAAGAAGCAAACTACTCAACCGAACCATGAATAATATTCCGACCTTTTAAACAAACACTGGCACTTGTAAAAACAGCAATACAGGTCTAAATATCTGTACTATTATTTTTGACCTTTTAAAGGACTCGTAGTGACGAGGAGCCAATGAGAAAGAGGGATATGGAGGTGGGGAGGACGCTGCAGGGAGCACTTAGCGCCAGCAGAGGGCAGCGTTTCTCTGTCACACAGGTAGAGAGAATCCCACTTATAATACATTTAAAACATATTTTATTTATAAAAACCTTTATTCCTTGTAAATCAATACAGAAATGATGGAACGGAAAATAGATGAACATTTCTAATTTTAACAAGTATTCTGGTAACACTACAATATTATGCAGTTATGTACAGTATTTCAATTGATGTAATAACGAAATATTTGTTTATCCAAAATACAATATATTACCAATTAAAGCAACAACAACAACAAAATGCGATGTTCATTTTCTAGTATCTCTGACATGTAGGTTAGCAAGTGTTGTTATGATTATTTACTTAATCATTAACAAGCGTGTGTCAATAAGGGCTAATCCCTTTTATCAATTAACTCTGGAATATGCCACAAATATGAATATTACAACACACAGTTGTGAACAAAAGTTATCATTAAATACAGAATAAAAAGGAAAATAAATGTTAAACCCAATTGTGATGATTACAAATTATAATTGGAAAAAATAATTAAATAATAGTCAAAGAAATAAATGGAACAACATTGTCAAGATTTATGGGCATTAGACCGCTGTGCTTTAAATTAAGGAGAGCTAATTTGGGAACTTTTTGTGACAGTGTATGATGAACTAATATTTTAGATGAAGGTAATCTCCATCCAGTTGTCCGAAGTTCAGACCCTGTCATATCCTTCTCTGTGGTGGTCTTTGATGAACAGGGAGGTTGTCACGGCGATGAGAAAAAGACCCACCACTGTGGCCCCGAGGATGATGGGGATAACTCGCTTGGTAAAGTCAACCCAACACTCCACCTCTGAAACAACATGGAGAGCAAAATGCAGAAACAAATGAGTACCTTAATTTAGCCATATATAATCTGATCTGATGAATGACTTGCAGATATCACATTCACATCAATCCCTTAGATCTAAAGCTGCAGTGCAGAGATTCACATTTATAACACGAACATTGTTTTCCATAATGATTAGATCAATAACACAGCAGCAATAAACCTGCTTTAGTTTCAGGATATTTACTGTTAACAAAGTCCAATGGGACCAATTATCATTGTGTGTGATTCTCAAGAATCGCACGCTCAAAGCTCACATTATAGATCACATCTGTAGGCTATCTGGCAAAACTCCCAGCTGTTTTCCTAGATTGAGATTAATCACAGAATGAGGGAAAACTGGAGTGCTTTCAAAGCATGAACATAATGTAATACTGTACAACAGAAAACAAGCCCAATTTGATTTTTAAATCCTTGGGCCTTTTTGAAAAAAAATTGGTGCTCATGCTAATGTATCTGTCCATGTGTCTTCAAATGAGTTTGAACACAAGAGAGGAAGCAGACAATACCATATGGGGTAGTCAAGCGTGTATACTTTTATTCAGCAATGTGAGTTTGTAATTGTCTTTTCACTATGATATTAATTACGGTGTTAGGACTAAATGTTGTTATAGTTCTATATCTACCAGCGCAGATACTTTGTTATATAAAGGATATTTTCCCTTGTACCTAATGATCAACCCATTCACCTTTTCCGTAGTGTCCTTTGAGCAGAGTGAAGGCCTGTATCTGCAGAGGAACCAGCCGGATCCTCAGCTCCGGAGACGTCAGAAGCAGATTCTCAGATTCGCACTTGAAGCTCTGGCCATCAGCCGCTGCAAACAGCTTGTCATTCGTCAACACACCTGAGTAAGTCTTATCTGTGAGGAAAGGATGTCAGACAGGGATGGTTATGTTCTCTGTGTGGGCAGGTTCAGAATCAGAAATACCAGCTAAATGTCATCTCTCTTTTTATCTCTTGATCTGGTCTTACTGGAACATCCTTGGCAGACAGGCAGAGGAGACACGTGAGCGGTCAGATTGGAGACGTAGAAAATATTCCCTTTCTGGAGACAAAAACAAAAGAGATTGAAGCTGATCCAGTAATGCATGAATTCTGAAAACAATTTTTCTAATGCACATTACTTTATCTGTTGATGTGAATGTTTTGGATTTTCTGTGAAGCTGGAAGCGTCAATGATTCTATTAATTTTTTCTATGGCAGAGTGTGGATGCAGAAACTATATTTTCTGAATTTGAAGATACAGTATAAACACGTAACACAGTTTTGTCTTCCTCATTTGACTATTGCTAATAGTTCCATAATCACTGCATTTATGACGTGTTTTCTAAGGCATTAAAATTGACATGATGGTATGAAAAATTGACTAAACTAAACTTAAGTGCTCATATAGATATAACGGAGTAAGAAATACAAGTTTTGCCTTTTGAGATGTAGTGGTCTAGAAGTACAAGTTGCATAAAATCAACGCTCAATTACAATTACCTCAAATATGTATAGTACTTGAGTTTAAGTATAGTCAATTTACATTCCACCATTGCCTGCATATCTCCAGACAGTGGAAGAAAATGCACACTTTGAAGGAAACAGGGATGTATGACATTTGGTGTACCTTTCTGAAGGTGAGCTGCAGACTGGCAGCATCGTCAGGCAGTGTGAGAAAGAGGACAGCAGCTTCTTCACCACAGGACCCCCCCGTCCTGACCCTGGAGGGCTCCAGGTTGTAATACCAAGCCTTCTGAATGCACACAGGAGAGAAATATGACTTATACACTGTCAGATTTCATTGTCTCCAGTCAGTCACCAGACAAGTACTGGAGCAAAAAAGAGTTAACATTTAAATGATAATGTATCACCTCCACCAGAGCACACACGTCTTGTTATTTGTTTTTAAATAGATTGTTACGGACGTTTTTAGTTTTCTTTTGTTTGTACAGTGAAACAAATACTTCACGAAGACATGCAGAAATGAACACGCACACTGGGCGAAATGTGCTGAAATCGGACAAAAATACACTGAGGAAAACACACACACACGCATACACCCAAACACAAACTAACCTTTTTCTCAATGACAATGTACTGTACTCCCATGGTGGCTTTTATGCAGGATTTTCCAACATGCTTGTAGGTCCCTATGCACGAACACATATAGAAATATACATTAACACAGACAGCCAAAGGTCATTTAACTTGAATTAGAGACAATCTGTTTTCATTTTATTAATAACTTCTGGCTCCGTACAAAAGAGCCCCCAATGTTTAGACTTGAATTATTTGTTTTACTTTCCCTTTAAAACTTTAAACCCAATTAGGTCTACATTTAACTGTAGGTACATTTGCTGTGGTGCAAACAATTTATGTTTTATCTCTAAGGGATTGGTGTGTACCTATTGGAGGGGCGGTCTCAGTGGGCTGCAGCGCCGGCCTGTAGACGTGAGGCTCAGACGCAGGCTGGACAGAGCGCTCATTTTCCTGGAGCTGGACACCTGGGGGAGAAGAGACGTGTCACTATCAACATCTGGTTATCTAATGTATACGTATTGCACACAGCAGACACATATTCAGTTATGTGCTAAGAAACCAGCCAGCACACGGACATGCTGGAATGCTGGGTATTTGTCCACGTTTGTTAACCTGCCTCTAGCAGAATCTTGGATTGGACATTTTTGCAGAAAGTCTAAATAGAATAGGAAAACAAAAACATTTTTGCCAGGCTTGTCCACTTTGCAACAAGTACATTTTACTTGGTAAATTACTTGGTTATGAAGTAAGAATGAGGCTGTCTTGACATTGGTTTAAAGCAATAATTACAGTAATTGAACAATTACACATAATAACACATTGCATGAAAGCTGCTGCTGCAAACCTTGTCCTCAATGTTTTTATCTCAGTTTATTTTCATACCATCTGTATGCTTTTAACTGCAGATTAAGAAAGAAAGAAACATGTGTTAAACCCTTAAATGTAGATTTCTGTGTGAGAGAGAAAACCAGAACATCCTCATTTATTACAAAGCACATTTACAAGTACTAGGTTTTCACAGAGAAGGCAACACAGCATTTTGAATTCAATATTCAATTCAAATTAAGAAATATAAATTAAGAAATAATCAGTTGAAATGTCTCAATCACATGTTCACTCCTATCATTATTACTTCCTTGCATACAGTAATACTGAATGGGGTCCTTTGTAACTTTGTGCCTAGAGACGCTTGGAGTTCAGCTCTGGTTTCAAATAACAGTTTAATTTTGTTTTGAGGACAATCCCACAAATTGATCTATAAAATCTGACAAGATTCTAAATCTCAAACCATTTTTTATACTTTAGTGTATTTGAGGTAAAAGAAAATCACAAAAAAAGAAAATATCCTTTAGGTTGTTGTTTTTAACTTTGCATTACCTTTTTTAAGTTTGATTTGAGTTTAGTTGTGTGGGCAATATGGATGTGAAAACCCTCTCTGTTATCTGGAGGAGGTCTCCCATAAATGCTGCATTGAGTTGAGCAGTTGACTGGTCTGTGGAGAAGCGCACTATAAGGATGTAATGAGATTAGAAAATCAAACTTACCTGCAATAATAGCCAGGATTATGAGACACCATCCACCTGTTTGAGCCTTTAGCATCATAGTTCACAGAAAACAACAGAAAGGAGAATAATGCAGCAGTGATGTGATGGGAGCCGTGTGAGTGCTTCAGTTGTGGTTTTGCTTCTAAATGTGAAACTGTCGACCACCTTGACACCCAAAGGAGCCGTGCACAGGAAGTGCAGAGTCATAGGAGGCGGTGAGCTGACACCTCGGATGGAAACTTTATGATGGTAAAACTCTGAGTCAGAAGCATGTAGCTCTAACTTTATGTGCTAAATATGTCACCTTGACAACATGTTGCTTTTGTTAGTGTCTTAGAAGTTGGGGACTTTGAGCATTAACAACAATATGTATATTTCTAAAGTTACAAAACTGCCTTTCATGTGTGACTGATGTTATATCTTAATATATCTGTTATCTAATTTAATTCATTTAACTTATTTATATTATGAACCTTTTCTTTGTTTCTAATACTTGAATGTAGGAATATGTTTGTAACATAGTATTTTTACAGTGTGGTATTGTTTTACTACAATAAAAGATTTGAGTACTTACTGGCTTGGTTAAGCTACACAGCTGCTGCTATACTGTTGGTTTACATTGAAATATTGAATCTAAACTAATTTGTTTTACTTGTTTTATTTGAATATTTTGTAAAGTAAAAATAACTAAATAATTTGAGTTTTCCTTTATCCTTTTATTCAAATGTGACTCCTCTTTGTAAAATTGTAACGATAAAATGTCTAAATAACCTATGTTAGAAATGTGTTAATAAGAGCACTTCAATATCCCACATTTTCTCCAAAACATCCATAATTTTAACCAAGACAAGGCTCTGTTTTCTTTTGGAATTTAACTCCATGTTTTCATTTGTTCCCATATTTTTTTCCTTTGTCTACGTATTACCTTATTGATATACCAGGTGATTTATCTACGGAGAATTCAGCTACCAGTCAAAACCTCCTGAATGATGAAGAATTAAGTAATCCTTGGAAGTTATGAAAGGCATACAATTCTGTCTTTTCTCATTGTTTTGATTGAGGGACCCCTAGTGGCAGTAAATAACATTCGATGCCCTAAACTTAGAAACCTCTTGAGGAGGTCTCCGTTTGCGTCCCATCGGTTGGCATGTGAACTCAGTGAACTTGGTGTATTCCTGTACAGAGGCTGCACATAGACACAGCAAACACAATGTCTGGATGATACTGTCATTTATGCAGTGTAACATCTGTGCAGCTTTCACCTCATTTCACTGAGGAGCAGTGAGGAAATCAGAGTGGTAGAGGCCAAAGGTCGACAGGGACAAAGTACCAGTGAAAGCACACAGCAAGCAAACACAAAGACACACACACACACACACACACACACACACACACACACACACACACACACACACACACACACACACACACACACACACACACACACACACACACAATGGCCCTTAAACATGTACAGTTAGTTATGTTTATGTTCAAACATACATGCTTCTTTGTGTGTTCAAATGTGTGTGTGTGTATTTAGGTATGAGCGCGTTTGCTCATTTAAATTCACTAGGAAGGAAGATGTTACCTCTTTAAATACTCTCCCCTTTCTTGGATACTGACAGTTGTATTGATTTGACAAGTAGGAGGGCAAACTAGAGAGCAAACATTTACTCTCCTTTTACCGACTGAGCGTTTTGAGCATCCTTGTGTGTGTGTGTGTGTGTGTGTGTGTGTGTGTGTGTGTGTGTGTGTGTGTGTGTGTGTGTGTGTGTGTGTGTGTGTGTGTGTGTGTGTGTGTGTGTGTGTGCCCTCCTGTCCCCTGTGTATGTGTCTATCAGTGTGTCATCATTCTTCCCAGGATTCCCACCCACAGTTTCAGGAGAACTTCACTCATTCATTTATCTCTTCAAGCACAGCAACATCGACAGCAGGCATTCACCTTCATAAACTGTAAGTAATGTTATATTAAATATTTGCATTAAATCATTTTGAAAGCTTAAAATTGTTTCTGATTCAGCCAGAAATAAGACATTTGTGACTCACGCTGCCAGGGTTAGAAGGCCATTTCGACATGAAATACACTTTCATTGCATTGGTAAACTGTGGATTGAGGTGTTCACTATCTGTTGTTATATTTACTGTTATTTCCTGTGAAGCAGAGCAGAAACATCCATCAGGATCAGACGATGAGGAGCGGAGCGGGGCTTTGCGTGCTCGGCCTGCTGTGCCTCCACAGCTCAGTCTATGGCCAGGTATGCAGAAAGAAACCCTACTACAACTACAACTTTCTTGCATTATGAGAATACACTGTGAGCAAAGTCAAATTGTTCATACAGTGAAGTTGTTTAGTATTTAAAATGTTATCTGTAAAGTAACTGGTAACTGTCAGATTAATGTTGTGGAATAAAGAACATTATATTTCACTAATAAAGGAGGAGAAAATGAAAGTCCTCACCTTCTTGTCAGAAACATCAGGATTTTACTAGAAAAAGTAAATTATTTTTTTTCTTTTCACCGGAGGTATTGGAGGTGCAGCCTGGCGTTCTGATCTTCTGTGACGACCCGTCTGTGGACAGAGCCGTCAGCAGCGCCGTGAACAAGTTCAACGAGAGGCTGAGCACCGGACACAACCTGGCCCTGTTTCAGATACTGTCAGCCAGCAAGGTACAGGGATGGAAAAAATGATGTGTGTGACATGCTACTGTAGGTTTTTTGAGGAAAATGATTACTCTTACAGTGTTGCATTGTTGTAAATACTGACACTGTCCTACTTGTAAGAGGGACTCAGTTAGTATTAGACATACTAAAAATGAAGGGTGATTAATATAGTCACTACAATTAAAAGACAAAAGGGTGAAATGTGCAAAACTAAACATTTTGAATCTGCTCAACACCATAATGCTGCCAAAGAATATAATACAGATATTGGCAATAACTAGGACAATGCAATTATTTCATGAGCTTTATTGAGGTTTTAACTGTTTCACCTATTATAAAACATAATAATAATAGTATTAACAATAATAATAATTCATACATGTGGCGATTGTGGCCTCCTGATTTTTTTTTTAAGTATCATACTGTATTAGAGATTAAACTGGACGGTGGTGAAACAACAGGAACTAAAGCTGTGGGATGATAAGAAATTTAAAGAAAACATGTTTACACACTATGACCTCTGGAACACTGAACGTGTGTGTGTGTGTGTGTGTGTGTGTGTGTGTGTGTGTGTGTGTGTGCGTGTGTGTGTGCATGCGTGCGTGCGTGCGTGCGTGCGTGCGTGCGTGTGTGTGTGTGTGTGTTTGTGTGTGTGTGTGTGTGTGTGTTTGTCTCCAGTCAGAGAATGGCTCGGACTCAGTGTACTCACTGCAGTTCACCACCAGGAGGAGCGACTGTCTAGCTGGCAGCAACAAACCCTGGACTGTCTGCGAATATCTGCCCAACGGAAGGGAGGTAATAATGAGAGAGCAAAACAGCTGCAGACATCCATGGTTTTGTTAGCAGTGACACACAGCAAAAATCTACAAACAGTGCCCACTGTCTTTCCAGCGTATTTAGTTTACACAGGAAATACATTCAGAGTTAAAGGTCACCTATTATGCAAAATCCACTTTTTCATGTATTGTATACATCAACATGTGTCCCCTCTGTGTAAAGACATTCTGAACGTTTCAGGAAAAAGGATTCATTCTCTTTTTGTCCTGATCCATTTATATAAAAACCTGTCTGAAAATGAGCTGATCAGATTTTGGCCACTTTATGACGTCATAACGATTTTTTTTGGCTAGTGTAACCATTAGCCAATCACCAACCAAGATAACCCCCGCCCACCATATCACCTGAATCTCCTCCTAGAGCACCATTGTGTTCTTTTTAACCAAATATCTCTCTGAGGGGCGTGGGGAGTGGCTCCTTATTTTAAAAGACAGAATCAGCACTTTTGAAACAGGGCTGAAACAGAGGGGATTATGGGATGCTACAATGCATGATCTGTTTGGTATGTGGAGCCAAACACTTCAGAGACATGTTTTGTATATATCTGCGACATATAATATATTGATGAAAAACAGTATAATAGGGACCTTTAAGGGAGAACAACATGTCTTAAATTGGTAGCAATATGTTATATAAAGGCATGGATTATACAGTCTTTGATTAAAACAAATTAAATCATCTAAGCTGTTTTTCTTTTCAGAAACCAATTTCATGCAATGCCACTGTCTACATGACAGAGACAGAGGCAGACACTCGACAGGTGGATTGCCTGCTTGGTGAGTGAAAATAACAAAGTGTCATATTATTGTTTTATCAGTTATGACACAAGAATATCCAGCTTTTTTCTCAAAGAAATAAGAAAAGATGGAGAGGGTTGGTTCTATCTAATCCACCATCACCAACCAAACCTAGAACTATACTTAAAAACAATATCTAATGTAATTAAAGTCTGGAGATAAAAGACAAAGCCTTTTCGTCTCGTGTTTCCTGCAGTGTGGAAAAAATATTGAACATTTGAGATTCAAGATTCAAGAACTGAAGCAACCCTTCAAAGCTAGTAAAACAGAGACATAAACAGGATAGTAATAAATAAATAAATCCAAAATAACTACTTTTGTTGGAAGAAACCTGAACTAAATTTTATAGAGAAATGTCTTTCAAAATGATCGAAAGTATATTTTTTAACTATATGATATTACATGCAGGCCCTGATCAATACTTTAATTTGTTGTCATGTGACGCTTCATATTTACATACATTTACTCAAGTACTTTACTTAGGAACACATTTCAGGTACCTTCATATTCTTAACGTATATCGTGTATGGGAAGAGGAACATCTGGTGTGCTGATAACGTTCCCTATGACTGTTTATTAGTGGAGTGTATTTCTCATTAAGAAAACAGTGATTCATTGAGGAAAGTGTAACCTCATGGGCGCAGGGCATACACAGAGAAGCTGATTGTGAAATATAATTTTCAGATACAGAGAGAGAGAGCAATATTAACTTGTGATCGTCTAGACTTTAATCTTTGCCCAACCAGCCCACTGAAAGCTTTCAGTAAATAGTTGTTTTTCTATCCAGCCAACACAATGATTTGCAACTTTTAAAGGCACAGCTTGGAAAAATAATACTGGTACTGTTTTGTAGATTGCTTCAGTTGGATCTGGTCTTACAGAAATTAGGTGTTGTGGTTTGAATTAACCGCATGATTAGCCCAGTCAATCTGCTGTCTTCTCATTCTTTATTTCTCTCCACCATCTTTCTCCTCTCCAGATGATTACATCGTCCCAGAGAAATCTATCTGTTTGGGATGCCCGACAGAGATTGATGAGAACTCAGAGGATCTCAGGGTTCCTCTCTCTGTCTCCATCTCCAAGTATAACTCCATATCCGACTCGACTCACCTGTTCACCCTGAACTCTGTGGGCCCCTCCACCAGACAGGTAGAAACGGGTTGATATGAGGAGAGAGGTGAAGATGAAGAGGAGAAGAAGGTTTTTCTTTACTGTCTGCATCTGTATCTGTTTCCCTGTAGGTCGTCGCAGGATTCAGGTTCAAGCTGAGTTTTGATATGAGGAGGACCACCTGTCCCAAGAGTGAACACAAAGACCTCAACGAGCTGTGTGTCCCTGATAGTGAGAATGTGGTAAGCACTGACATAGTATTTGTTTCTTTGTTTCTTTGTTGTTGTTGTTGTATGTGGTCGTTCTGTGTCTCTATGTGGTTGTATTTTGTGTCTTTTTAGTTGTTTTGTGTCTTTCTGTCGCTGTTACGTACGAGTCTCCTTGTTGCTGTTTTCTGTATCTTTGTGTTTGTTTTGGTTCTGAAAGTGGTCGATCTGTGTCTCGTTGTGGTCATTCTGTGTGTCTTTGGGTCATTGTGTGTCCTTTTGTTGTTGTTGTATTTCTTGATGGTGGCTTTATTTGGCTTTGTGTGATGTTGCGTTCCTTATTATTTTCTTTTTCGTCTATTGTGTCCCTCAGTGGTTGTTTTGTGTCTCTGCCCCATGACCCCTATGCTATCCATCCAATGCTCCACGTTCATTAGTCTGATGTGTCTCTCTCTCTCTCTGTTTGTGTGTAGGAGCTTGCCAACTGTAACTCTACAGTGGATGTAGCACCATGGAGGTTTGAGGTCCCACAGGCATTTATACAGTGTGAACAAGGGGCGCTGCCCACGGTGAGACCCACTTCCACAAGATGCTCAAACATTCAGCCTGTTTTAGAAATTGAATAAAGAGCACATCGACTTAATTGAATCTATGATAAACAACTCTATTTTAATTGAAAGTAAAAGTACTATATAAAACAAGTTTTACCTGTCAGCTCTCACTATCTGCTCAAATACTAGATAGTGATATATCTTGAAAGTGAAATGTAGACATTCGAGTTTGCATGCTGTAAATAAAAGACAACATGCAATATGCCAAATAAGATCTATCACAGTTACATACTATAAACCTTAAAGATAAAAAGGATAGACTTTGTAAAATAGGATGTCCATACTTTTTCATCTTTCCCATTTTACAATTCAATCACAATACTTTCATTCTAAAATGTAAAACCGTCCAGTTGCTAAGTGTCTTACTGTATTCCTTCTCCAGATGTTTACCAGGCGTCGTCCCCCGGGCTGGTCTCCTCTCAGGAACATCCTGTTAGAAGTCCCCTCCATCACCTCGCCTCCAACCACAACCAGCCCACCCCCCACCGGCAAGGCTTCGGCCACAGAAGAGTCTTCTGAGGAGGACACCACTGCACCCAAAAAACCCTCCTCCCCGGACATGGATGCAGAAGCTGGGAACGACAGCCCCTTCCACTGCCCGTCCAACCCCTGGAAACCTTTCAACCCCATCCCCCCTGCAGCACCCACACATGGCCTGGCAGAGGAGGCCAGCCCCCAGCCCCCAGCAGAGGGGGGCTTCAGTGATTCAGACCTGCAGGGATAAATTCATCCTCAAGGGAAACACATTTGTATTCAAAATGATCTCACTTTTTACTCCCTCCAAACACAGCTTTTTGTTTATTTAGACTAGTGCTTTATTTTCTGGGATGCAGCACATTTTTCTTGAAAGAAACACCTTTGATTCATTTCAAATTTAAGATGCAAAAGGTTGATAAAAGAACCAGTGCAGGTGAAAGCAACTTGTTTTGGGGACCTGTTGCTTCTTTGAAAGCACTGGAGAAAATGACTGAAGTGATGAAAGAGCTCTGAACTGTTAAAGATAATCAGTGTCAGTTTCCTTTGATTAAATCAAAGTGTCGGGTTTATTAGAGATGTGAGAAAATTGCATGTGTCTTTTCTTCAAAGGGAAAGATCCGCACGAAAATAAGACGTTGTTCTTTGTGCTGTGGTTAAATGTGAATATAAATGCAGCTAATCGATGATGTGTTTCTTTCTGTAAGATTCTCCTGTACTCACGGACTTACACGGTATCCCTTTGACTTCCTATTATCATTTCATCAGCCTAAATTATCTCACTGGTCTTTTAACATTGTCAACATCTGGATGAAGTCCTTTGGATACCCGGAAATCTTCTTTTCAAGCCCTGGAAATGAATACAATAATTAAAGTCATTACATTTGAACATGTTGACGATATCATTCATTGCATTATTCAATCCAGTAAGACTTTGTGAAGGCCTGCTGTAGAGTGAAACTGCAAGAGGGGAAAGTACGAGCAAACAGAAGCGGGTGAATGTTTAACACGTTTATTTGTACATCTTCACAAACACTCAGATGACCAGTCAGTCGGTCAGGGTACAAATCTTTACCCTGCGAGCCTAAATGAAATACATTTTCTTTTAATAAATGCAGGTTATTGTGATGATGAAAATGTTCCTATAGGAGTAAACGTAAGGCATTCATTTCTAAACATGTGTATGGCTGCTTAGCAGGCTGAATATGAAAACTAAAACAATGAAAAAGAATATTCCTCTTTACCCAAGCTCATGCAGGTAGGCTGTGGGAAACATGGCTTGATGTACATTCATTCATAGTAGGTTAAGGTTCTGACAGCACGGCATGTTGAGGACATATTAGAGACACACTAGTGCAGTTTAGAGCACTGCATACAGAACTGAACATTAAGCTACAGACAATTTAGTCGATATTTCCCTTTAACATTTAGGATACTTCAAAAGCAAAATGATCATTAATGATCAGTAATCTTATTGATTAGTCATACTTGCTCTTGGAAGTACAATCGTTTAAAACCCTTGACATTCATTCTGTTCAAAGCCTATTCAAAGGCTTCCTAGCAACGCAATTTGTATTAAAAACAAAAGCAGTAACAGTAGCTTTTTAACTGCTTTACAGAAACAATACAGTTCCTACAGGTGGTGGACAAACTAACACCTGTTGATTATGTTTACAGATATAACAGAAGCAAATTTGAATATCATAAAAAACAATAGGTTTTCACAGAGCAGTAAACACTGCATGGATATTGCATTCTTATTTCCTGTGTGTTTGTTATTATGTCCACTGGTTGTCTTCAAATCATAGCTAGAATCTTGTGATTGTATTAGCAGGGGCAAACTGCAGATGAATGGAAACAGGACCTCCCTCCCCTCTCTGTTTAACCTCACGAAATCTCACAGTATTTCTCAGCACACAAGCGGGTTCAAAGAGATTCAATAACTCCAAATTCTGAGAAAACAGCTAAATGATAATGTATCATTATGTAGATTGTTGATTCATACCATTACACATTTTGGTGTTTTCAATGTTGCTTTAAAGTCAAAAGGGATAACGCATGGGAGCCACCACAGCTTCCACAGGTGGAAAAACAAGTGCAATACTATTGCAGATACCCTGTACAAATTCAGTGCATAAGTTGAGGACAAGCAGAACTTGAGACACATAATCCTGCTGTCTGTGAGAGCTATCACTTGGACCTAATTTTCATGAGTTTGAGGCTCAGGATAATGAAAGAACAATAAATATATATTTGTAATACTTTGCACCTGGAATTTGGCTCTCGAACAACATTCATCACTTCAAGAAATACTTGTTTCTTCACTCATGTATAACTGTGGCATCAATAACCACTCTCACAATCAGTACTAAATAGACAATGCACAACAACCAGTCTCAACTTAAAACCAAAAAGAAAATACAGCTGCAGTTCTGATATGCAATATCTGAAGTAAAACATTTACAACCGTATGAAAAGTTCCCTCTCACTTATGTTTCCTAACAAACAATTAAAAAGTGTCATCTCACACATGTAAGCTACATACACACAGTGTGGGTTTTCATTGGGGCCTGCCAATGAAGCTCTGCATCCTGTACAGAGAGACAATGAGTTCACACAAACATATACATGGGAAGAGATAATAATGATAGTAACACTGCAGGTTGTCATATATGAGCTCAGGATAGAAAACAAAGCAGTCTGACTGCAACTCTACATACATACGGCTAACGCTGCTTCAAAATATACAAACTGGTTATCCTGACATGCACACTAGGCTAACGTTCTTCTCACAGAGTCCTTCTGGACAAAAAGGCTATTTTAAGGTGCACACACCAACCTCTTCTTTTATATTTTAAGATAAACTGATATGCCTACTTAATTCCAGAATTATCTTCCACAGGCCTCAGTGAACCTGTGTTTGGCACATTAAGAGAAAGAAGAGACGAGCTCTCTGCCGATCACCTCTTGTATGTTTAGTGGCACTGCATTTGACACTTTAGAGAGAAACCATAAATGACGCAAAAACCAGAAAAAGAGTGCACATATTTGACAGCTCAATACATTCTAGCCACTAATGTTGCAGTAATATGACAACACACAGGTGTGCCATACCAGAACAGACACCATTTAGGCTTTTCCATACAATCAACACTTGGGAAAAGTGCATACTTCCTTTTTCACTGGCAGATCTACTTTCAAACAGAAGATGATCATTTAGCCATGAGCACATCCAAATATCTTTCTAGGTACACAGTAGAGGTGTCAGGGGCTCATGATGCTGCTGAGCTACTTTTGTTAAATAATACATTCTCTCCTCAACAAAGCTCATCATTTGACACGTTCTCAACTGGCTAAGCTTACAGTCAATCAGGGTTTTCTGTTTATAAAAACACATTTTAGAACTAATACCAATCTCAAAAGACAAGGTGACTTTGGTCAATGGAACAAAATCAAAATCCCTGTCTTTCAATGAAATGTGATTGTGACGATCACTATAGAACTTAAGAGTGGCTTAATCGAGCTACCAGATAAAAAAGTATGTTTATATCAGTTGATAAAACTATGTTAACATGTCCAAAGAATGGCGCTAACGTCTAATTCATAAATTTCCCCTCATCCTCTGCCTATAGACACCACAGCTGAAGGAGGTGTGGGCGGAGACTATGCGTCCTCTACGCAGTGCTTCTCAAAGTGTGGTCCGCGGGCCACTGGTGTTCCGTGAGCGCCCCCTAGTGGTCCGTGAGTATATTGGTACAATTTCAAATTTGAAATAAATTCATTAATTAAAGTTTTCCGCACTCTCGCGGGAATATCTCTGCAATGGAGCCAGCTTAAGTTTCACGCAACACCTCAATGACACATGTTGCCACTTGTTTGTACCATTTTCAGGCGATTTGTAATCTGTTCTAGAAAAACGATGTGTTTTTGAATATCTTTGGAGTTAAGAGGTCCGCGAGTGTCTTTTTATTGGTTAAGTGGTCCTTGGTTTGAAAAAGTTTGAGAAACACTGCTCTACAGCTATATATCACTCTATCTGCTTAATATTGAGCGATCCAATGGAATTTGGAAAGGCTATTTTGTTTTGACTTAAAAATGTTGAAAAACCTACACGCTCATATGTTTCCGTTGGGGAGGATATGTAAAAAAGTTTGGAAAATAAAGAGCAAGGATTTAGAGAGCATTGCTCAAATACTGCTAGGTGTATTACATGCTCAGTGAAAGATATTAATCAAATAAAAATGGATAAACATATAAACGAACTGTGTATGACGAACTATGTCCATCAGTTGACATTTATAGAGATGAAACGATAAATATCAAATAGTTAGAAATAATAAAAAAATATTGGTTTTCATGTTACCAAAACCAAAAATCTAGCTTTTCATGTAAATAGTGGTGGTTTGTTTACTACAAATATTTAGGCTGTCGGGCTTAGCAATGTGAATCAGGTTCTGTGACTCCAAGGCATTTTATCATCAGGAAGACGTGACATTCTCCTGGGCTTCTGCTCGCCAACTAAATAGACAGCCAGAGGCTTTAAATAGATCACATTATTCAAAGCGAGAGACTGGCACTTTCCTTCATTACCAAATGTGCATCCCCAAACAAATTCATTATCACAAATTCCAAGCTGCAAACTAGCGTTACTAACAAACTGATGTTTAACTTAGAAGTGCAGGAGGCGAAAAGGGCATTAGTAGTCTTCATTTGCAGAACTCATGGTAGTCAGATAAAGGAAGCACAAATACAAAAAGACTCCAAATATATATTGAAACAAACAAGTGTGTTTCTGGAGAGTTGAGTGTTGCATGTGTAACAAAAGGATAAACTAGATACATAAATAAATAAAAAAAGTCATAATAAACCTGTATAGTATTCTACTACTTTTTAAGTGCTGTTTTTCGATGGAGAGGCATCATCACCCTGAAGTTTATGAGTCTAAAGCAGCACCACCAACAAATGTTCCCAAGGGTGGAGTGCTTTTTCTTTGAGGCCGAGGGAGACTCTAGACCTGTGCAAAACAACCAACAGGCTCTTATGCAGTTTTTTTCACAGAGGGTTAAAGGTGGCGAAGCTGACACCAAATCAGCTCAGGAGGGAACAGTGGTAAGTCATACTTACGTCATACTTCTTTAATCTTGCGATGTGCAACATATTTGTGTAACAAATACTAGGTATGTCATGTTCTTTTGTGCACGCTATCTTCTCAGCAAAGATACAAGCATCTCTTTCTGGGATGGAGCCACAGTGCAGAGCTAACACAGTGGAACGGCAGCAAGTTGGATTTACTTTGTGGATTCAGACGATTGGACGATTTTCTTTAAGCTGTTTTGTCCAATTTGTGTTTTCCCAACAAGAGCAGCAGGGTGAGAGGTAACATGTTCTTTGTTTCCCAGTTTGTTCCTGTTTGTGGATGCATTGGCCAGGAAGGGAATATCTTCACAAGGACATGGAGACAACAATCTCTTGTAGAACCGATTGTTGAGAAGAAAGCAGATGATTATGGCCAAAGAAAACCAGGAACCTTGTTTAGATGAACAGAAATGGTATGGGTGTAAACTTCCTTCATCACTGAGGTGTTACTTCATGGCGGGACTGGTGTTGTGTTGTTTGTGTGCAGGAGATCAGTTCAGTGCATGCTGTCTGATTGTGTGGAATATCCAGTCCATCTTGGTGGTCCACCCTCCATGGTGAGCATCGTTCATCTGTTTCATAAAGTAGTCCAACGCCTCCTGCACAAAGCAGAATCAAATAAAGAAGATGATGACATTTTAATGTGAGATACACAACAATAACAATATCAGATCGGAGTGGATATGAGCTCGGGGGAAAAGTCTTATTACCTGTTCGCTTTTCTCCAAGGCCAGCGTCTTCCTGATGTAGGCAATGTCATCAAATGACTGCAGCTCGGGCATCCCGGAGCCCAGCATCATGGAGAACAGGTTGATGAACAGGTTTGCATGCTGCCGGATGGCCAGGTAGGCTTTATAACACATCTCCTGGAACCTGGAGGGAGATGGGAAATGTAATGTGAGAAATATCAACAGAACAGGTCGAAGCAAAGACAACAAGAAAAAAAAAAAGTAAAAATAAACTTAGTATTGTGCAGTAACCAGTGTTGGGGTAGTTGCTCAAAAAAAGTAATGCATTACACATTAGATGTTACTTTAAAAAACAAAGTAATGCCTTACTTAGTTACTCACTGCTGAAAGTAATTAGTTACACTACAAGTTACATTACTTTTGGATCCCTCTGTAACATCAGATGCCATTACTGTACAAAAGACCTCGGTTTTCTGCTCTTTGTTTGAAATTCAGCTGTGTTTTCCTGTATGATGGCGGCAGCCCCGTTACCTGTATCTTGCTCAATATGTTACAGAAATATTGCAATTCCACCGTTGAAACAGGCAACATTTCCTCAATGATGTTTGCTGAGACATGCTATGCAACTCTGTAATTTCTGCTCCGTTTCCTCATCCATGAACTTGCGTGTGTAACACTAGTGAAACAGGCCGTTTTATTAAATGTTCTGTCCTCCAGTTATGCAGATAGTAGAAGACCTTAAAGTAACGCAAGTAACAAGATCATTTTCTCCAGTAACCAAGACCAACAGTAACGCGTTACACTACTGAATTAGAGACAAATGTAATCTGATTACTGTAACACGCTACACCCCCAACACTGGCAGTAACAACCACCTAATTCCACGAGAGACGGTCTGTTTAACTTGCAGTCGGGTGCCATTTGAAGAAGATTTGGGGGCTGGTCCCTCCCAAGTTCCCTAATCCTCAAAATATAAAAACATAAAATCAAACCTGCATTACAATATAAAATAAAAAACAGACAAAACCAGCTTCAATAAAGTGGTAACAATGTACCCCTTTAAACCTAGTTTAAGACTAACGCACCTACAGTATAGCAAACCTTTTTTATGGCAGAATTTCAGGATAGCACATTAAGAGACACATTTTGGAATTCTACAACCTCAAACAACCAATCAACAGACTGACTTATTAGTTGCATGTAGAAGACTAGTACATAGTTTAGATGCTGCAGTACCTCTCAAACTCTTTGGTCTTGGCACACTCTTGGGATCCCTTGCTGATGACGATGAGGAAGTCTTGTGTCAGCACAAAGGGCACACGCTCTCTCTTGTAGCCAAACTTCTTCTTCTTATGGTCAAGGAAATGGCCAAAATCTATGTGAAACAACTAGAGGGGAGCAGGGAAAAGAAGAAAGCACAAAGTCAAAAAGTAGTTTCTCTATAACAAGTTACCTCCTCTTAAGTGAAATCTATTTACTGCTGATACCAATTTATTTCAATAAAATGTGCCATTCAGTCTGCTGAGTATTCGCTCATGTATAAGAAAAAAACAACAGTCCAGTATCTCTTTCAGCATTGGCTCACTCTCATTAAGAATACTAAAAATGTAATTGTCAGAGCAACCTTGAAAATTTGGAATCAGTTCAGACGTTTCTTTGATCTCCAAACATACTCGACGCTAGCCCCTTTATTCACAACACATTTGCCTCTTTCCAACAGCTATCTGATAAATGTGCACTACCTAGGCAACATTTCTTCAGGTATCTACAGATTCGCAGTTTTGTTAATAATAGATTAGCCGCTAGACACACTCCTTAGGCCGTTACCTGGTCTGAAGGGAATGATGACGTGTTGTATTTACGCTCAGATTTATTCTCTTCGTTTGGTTACCCTGAACTCCATTAAATCTCTTTGGGAAAAAAGGATCTTGGGGGAGGAGAACTTTGGGAAAAAGCCCTTGCTAATCTACACAAATCTTCTATTTGTGCTAGACATGGACTGATTTAGTGCAAAGTAGTGCATCGCACACACGTAGCTCAGGCTCTCTAAAATATATAAGGAGGTGGACCCAACTTGTGACAGATGTAACCAAGCACCGGCGAGTCACACACACATGTTCTGGTCTTGTCCGGTCTTACACTCTTATTGGACTGACATCTTCAGATCACTGTCAGAAATGACTGGAAAACCAATCGCTCCTAATGCCATGACCGCACTGTTTGGTGTAACCCCACCCACATGGCCACTCTCTTCTCTGGAGACAGCCTACATACCTTACTAGCCAGACACCTGATATTGCTCATGTGGAAATCTCCAACAACCCCTTCACACACCTTGTGGTTAAAAGAAGTCCTAAATTCAGCCAAACTCGAGAAAATAAGGTGCATACTGAGGGGCTCCCTGGAGAAATTCCATAAGATGTGGAACCCCTTCTACAAGTATATACGGGAGCTGGACATGCCGGATGTCTCTGTACAATAGGGTGGTGGACCTGCGGTGTTAAACTGTGGTTACTGGGCGGCTGACTGAACAACAAGTGCTATGTTTTTTATTTTTGATATATTTGGTCTTTTTGTTCCATTTATACACATTGTTTGATCTCTACTTTTGTATCATGCTATTAATAATGGACTTAGACTCAGAGCCTTTAGATTTGGAATGTTTTTTGATGTTGATTTTTGTCCTGTCGCAGTCCTTTTTTTAATTTTATAGTCCTTTTTTTTATTGTTTTGTTTTGTCTTTGTTTTTTATCCTGTCGGACTCGAATCACACTGTTGTCATCCTAACTTGTTTGCCAACTGCTATTGTGCAGTCTGTCTGGCTGTTTGTTTATAAAAAACAAAAAAATTACATAAAAAAAAACAGAGGCTTGGCTAGACAGATTAGGATTGAAACATTGTGCAGGTTGTTCACTATGTGTCTGTTAGGGAAAACTGTAACGTGTCCTACTGTGCCTTAAATACAATTGTGTGGTGTTCCTACACAAGTTACCTGTCCATCATCTTTGACCATAATGTTGCTGTTGTGTCTGTCTCCGATCCCGAGGATAAATGTAGCTACACAGTAGCCAGCACAGGACCTCGTGAACAGATCCACAGCCAGGTCATACCTGCAAAAACACACACACAAATTAGCAGTGACACAATTAATTTAGCATTTAAAAGCAATTGGAAATGTGAAAATTATTTTAAAAAACAAATGTGGATTTTGAAACTTATGTGGGCAGGAAATAGGCTGCAACTCTTAGCAACAGCAGATTTCTTTAAGGGTCACAAAGTCCTTTTATGTTCTTCCCTGTCTAATGATGTGAAAAATAATCTCAGGAGAGAGGAGCTCACATCTCGCCCTTGTTCTTGTCCTTGAGCCACTGGTGCAGAGTGTTTGAGTTGAACTGCAGGGCTCCTTTCAAGCCTCCTTTACACTGAATCTGCATGATGGTGTGGGAGCTGCGAACCACCTCAATGAGCCCCACACAGTCTCCCAACGACAGACAGCCGTACGGAAGCATCCTGGAGACACACACCAACAGATTTGTTTAGCCATATGCACTGAGGCAGGAGAAAGTTAGAGAATGTATCAATTGAAGCAGAAAAAACGGTGCAAGAAGAATATGGGAGGAAAAGGGATCGAGAAAACAGAATAGGGAGAGTACCGTAGGTCCAGCCCCTGATTCTGCCAAATGTTCTCCATGATTTTAATAATCTGCAACGTCAGCATGTCCTGCCGCAGGTCTATAACACAAACATAAACAATTAAGTTGGTTAGAGGGTTCCTACAGACTAAGTCAATTAGATTGAACATTTTTAACTACAGTTGGAATGAAATCAGAGATGTTGTATATGCATTTTAACTGCTATCAGGATCTGTTTGATGTTAATGGAAAACATTTTTTATTGGATGTTACTAATTATTTTTGAGATTAAGCAATACAAGATCACAAAAAAAACTGGAAATCCTAAATCCAATGGCTTTGCATTTTTAAGACATTCAAATATTGATTAAAAAAAAGATGTATACCCATTAAGGCCTTTACCGGCTAACAGAGCTAAAGCTATCAGAGTTTCTTTCAATGGCATACTGGTGGTATCGAGTGAGATACAAAACACTTGAGTGTGGTAAAGTGTAATGTGGGTTGTTTGTGTCCGTGTGTGCGTTACCATCTCCATTTTTGAAGATGATCTCATTGTTCTGAAAGAGCAGCTCGGACATGATGTCAGGATTCTCCCAGTTCAGCCACAACGGTCTCTTCGCTGACGACATGATCCTGCATTCATCTAACCTGTGCACAAATGCATTGAAGGTATTATACAATGCCCTCTTTTTACAACAGCACACACAGGCTCAGTCACGCTGCTCCCTGCCTCAGGTTTCCCAGTTGGTGTGCAGGGTTGAGAGGAGAGGTGTAGTTCTGCAGAGCATCCATGTAGTCAGGCCTCTTCATCTGGTCCACAAGGAACCGCATCTGGACCTGAACCAGACAAAAGCATAATGTTTTTTTGTGATAATGTATAATACGTGTGTAAGTGTGTGCTGCTGTTCTCCTTACCTTCTGCGTCTCATCCTTCTTCTCCTGCTTGAGGATGTCAGTGAGGTTAATGAGCTTCTCCATGGCCTCCACTTGCCTGCTCAGGTGTTTGAGGTACATCCCACAGGCCCGGCAGTACGCCTCCAGCAGCAGCCCAAACCTCTGGCTCACTGTTTTGTTGTGCATTTCTGACCTGTGAAGAAGCCACAAAGAGAAGGGAGTGGGAAGCAGGAAGGAAAGATAACAATAGCTCACAGAGAAAGGACGCTGCATAAACATTAGGGAGAAAGCAATCTGGATGGTGACTCACTTTAGATGCCAGAAGAAGAAATGACCTATCCTTTGATTGGTCAGAGCCTTTTTGAGGAGGAAACGGGCCAGGGGATTGTCGAGATACTGCTCATATTTTAATACCTAGAACAGGAGAAGAGAAATGATCGAGATGCATAACGGGGGTTCCGGTTAGTCATTTCAGATTCAATACTGTTTTTCACCATGGAGCCTCAGTACACAAAGCAACAAATACAGCTTAAGGCAGACTTTTAGAGTCTTCAATACAGCTGCTTTCCTACAGATATAACCGTACAAAGGCACCCCACAGTCTACTTAAAGTGTCAGACCCACCTGTACAAGTTGGATGAGGTACTGGGACAGTTTGTCGTCGGTCAGGTATTTTTCGAGGCAGCGTACAGCAAAGTGTCTGACCATGGGGTCTGGGTAGTTACAGTCCAACAGCTCCATGGCCTGCTCAGGGCGGGTGGATGGCCATTCCTTCAACAGACAGTACATCTGGGAGACAAACAAGAAATATGATTTAATACTCATTATAAACTGTCTGCGGCGGTAAATATATTAACTCAAGTATACACTCAAGCTTAAAAAGGAGTTCTTTCCTAACAAGTTGATTTAAGTGGTCCAACATGGAGTAGATGGAAAACACAATTTGCAATTACCTACTTTTTTCTACATGTATTTGTATTTTTCACAATCCCCCAAAACATCTTTCCTTTACTCGTTGATCAAGTTTATTTCGAGTATGAGTGTTTGTGTAATGAGCAGGTATGAAATGGCATGACATTACCTGTGCTACTTCATCCCTGGAGTTCCATTTGACAGAGAGCAGGATCTTGGGAAGGATCTCAGGGATGTTCATGCAGTAGTGTCTGGTAGAAAATAAGAAAGGAGATAACTACATTTCCACTTTAAGTTTTAATCTGTTGTTTTTACACATCTACATCCTGCATACAAAGTTCAAACTAAATCTGATCAGTGATTTTGATTTACATGAGTATTCAGCGTACACAATTTGGCTCTGGTTATTCTTTAAAATGTTGTTTTAATGTATTATTAAATAGAAAGTTCACACCAAAAGTTATTTAAAAGATCAACAGCAATGTCTCTTCCATAAATCATACCCTTTACTTAAGATGACACAGACTTTATTGTGAGCATTTAAAATGTAGGAACTATTTTCTTTCCACTGTAAAACCCAAAACAATAGCACATTTAGCTACCAACCAAAGATAACAAGCCTGAATTGAATCTATTGTCACGTACAGCTACATAGAATTCGACCTGTTCAATTCATGCCACTTTCTTCAATCCAAGCAGTACTTTATGTGTGATGTATGGTAGTTCTAGTGGTATTCTTGCTGGTTGTGTGGTTACCTGTGTCTCCAGAGGAAGTCTTTCTCCTGCTCAGTGATTTCTGAGAGAGCGTCTCTGTTACTCAGCTGTCTCATCTGCTCAGTGTCGCTATCCGTCAGGGCGTGATCCCTGGCTGACCGGTTGCTCTAAAACAGAACAAAAAAGTACAAATAAAAACATTATCATTGCCAACAGTACCATAATAAATCTATTGGTACCATTTGTTACTTTTTAATTTTACATTTTTTGGCATCACAGTATCTTTATCTAATAAATATGTGCCTCTCTGGATAATCAACCATGCAGTTACTATGAGGAGCCAATAAAGCTTGGAACGATACCAACTGTTTCCATTACTGTTGCGGTGCTTGTCAAACATATCAAGTTACAGATTAAGGAATACATTTATACGACACATTACGCTATCATCCTAAATAAATCCACATTGAACAGCCCTAATAGATCACACCTGAAACCACACACCACAAAAGATACAAGTCTGTAATTCATACCATGTTAACTTTTGCACTATATATTTTGTTTTATTCAACCATTTCCGTCAGCTTTCAAATGTTACATTTCTAAATTGCTGCACATTGTATACTGATCTGAGATAACCACAGCCTTCATTTACACTTATTATTTATATGCACACATTAGAGTATCAGATCATGGTAGTGGTTGGCAAAATGAGAAACTGTATTCAAATCACCATCTGGGTCTGTTTTTACAGGAGCAGCTTGCTCATGAGAAGCGGGAAATGAACTTTGAATTCATTTAAATGCCAGTATTCTTCTGGCTTTTACTTGATATGTATTCATTCTAATGATGCAAATCCTGACTTTATCTTATCAGATACAGGATAAAACTAGTGTTTGTAGAAATATAGGAGACAAAAACTGGGGGAGGTAGACAGCATGTTAAACCTTCATATCTACAGTATAATAAAATATAGCATGTATTTATGCTTTTGATACACACCAATGTTAGCAAAACAAGCTAAATGGATACATTTGTCCGCAGAATAACAGACGTTTCACTTCAATATCTATTATAGACACTGTGACCCAGACAGAATGCAGTTGGTATGATATGCAGCCAGATACTGTTTACATTTGTCTTAGGATCTTTGGCAATTACTTAGCCAAAAATAAATCTGTACATACATTCAACTGTCCCTTGCCCAATCAAACACCTTTATGAAACCAAGTGCCAAAATCTTTAATATTCTGGTAACATTTGATGTTAATTTCGATTAAATTGTACCTAAGATAAAATAAAACAATGTTCTGCTCAGAAGTGAGCCGGATGATATCCTCACGCTTATTGAGTTGGACGTTCACCACATTTGACACACACATCATGAATAAGTTAACACATTGTCTCACACTGTTCACATCCTCTCACATGGCAGAGTAACTCCAACCTCACACAAGTCATGGCTCTCATGCCACACATCATCTAGAAACCTGATAAGACGGCATCAGCTGCACCATCATGAATAACTGAACACAACAGCTAACTGCACGACTGAGTTACAGGAAAAGTGTTGGGGCGACTCGAGTCAGGAGATTTTATATTTCATGGTTGGGTGGAAAATGATATACATTTTTCAAATGTATTGATCTAAATGTACTTATATCAAACTTTTTTATTTTTTTATTATGAAATATCAGAAAGAAAGTTAAAATGGCTTTCAAATGTATTTATATCTATTCATACATTCAACCTACTGTAATCAAGTGTGGGGCTGCCTATGTTAAAAGCAATCACAATTTCACCAAAGGGAACCCTATAAATATAAAATATATTCACAAATGTGTTTATATAACACCTGACTATAATTAAATGAGTTGTCTTACACAACACAGCTTTCTGTTCACATTACTTACTCACCTGCATGACTTTTGATTGGGCAGATGTTGTCATTGCAAGAAATGCCTTCAACAAGGACACACCCACACCTCACACTCATAAATCAATGCCACACTACAAAGGGGTGTAATGAGCAGTGAAACTCAAACACCTTCATTAATAACTTACTTATTCTATTCTCAGTAACTCTGTACATGTTATATTTTATTTATTAAGTGTGTATTTGAGCACTGTAACTTACATGTCAATGAATGAACATGGAGCTTAAGTTGTATTTCGTTATGTTTCTTAATGCTGTAATTGCTGTACTTGTCTTCAGGGCTGGATTTCACACTTGATATTTATGTAATCAGTTCAATATTGTTACATTTTGGTCCAGCCCTCTTACAGATGCAACATTAAACATGTGAGGCCCCTCATGGTCTTAAGCTATAACTGACATTTATTTCCTTGTGTTTGAGGTTCAAAACATTTAAGATATACACTGTGTTATTGTACTCTTCTAGCCCACTGATAGGCAGCTTGTTAGCAGGTAATACCTGTCCAGAAAGGTTGTAGTTAAACCCCAGTTCCCTTGAGATGGTCCAGTTTGCATGATCCTCTACTGCATTCATTTCTGGGTATTTGACCAAACTACTGAAGTGGTCAAATTCCAGCTCCAGGCATGGGGTTTCCTGGAAAGTAGAAATGAATATCAACACATTGTGTGAATAACAAAAATGGTACATTTGTAAATATGTTATGAAATTAAGCAACAGTGCGAAAGATTGCTTGAATCAAATACCTTATTAGGGTTGGATCCAGTGACTCCGATGGGGTTGAGGAGGTCTTCAAGGCCGTGAGGGACAGGCCAAAGATTCAGAGCCATCTTGTTGGCCACCAGAGTGTGAGTGTAGTCAAATATGTTGATATTACCCCAAGCTAGTGGACAGTGCTCCTAAAGGGAGACAGACAAGTAAGAGAAGAGAAGAGAAGATAAGAGAGAGAGAGAGAGAGAGAAAGAGAGAGAGAGAGAGAGAGAGAGAGAGAGAGAGAGAGAGAGAGAGAGAGAGACCGAGAGACCCATTGAGTGGAAATTGAATTAATTGCAATGTGTGAAGCTCATGGGAAGAAAACAAACACAAACACAGATGGTAAATCATTTAGAATATCAAAGAGGTTTTTAACACCAACATATTCTGGGACTCGCACTGTGAAAGAATATAGTCTCATTAAGGTTTCCTTTTGCTGAGAACACATTAAAAACACTTACTCAGAAAGCAGATGAAGGAGCTGCTGTGTGTTTGCCTTTCACGTGTTAGTTTACAATGGGGTGATACCCTGACAAAAATGAGTGTTTTTTAAAACTTAAAGAGTTTAAAGAGTCTTACAAGGTTTAAGTAGGTTATAGTATGCAGGTAAAGTGATTTTAAAGGCTTTTTATATTAGCTAGATATTCATTCAGTTCATCCTAAATGTGTTTTTTCTGGTGCTGTATATGACAACACGTCTGTTGTTACCTCGTAGGAGGAGGAGCCTAGGAGGTAATGTTTTTGTTTGGATTGTTGGTCTGTCAGCAGACAGGCCTGACTTTCATGGAACTAGTTGGAATGATTTAGCATAGGCCACACAACAACCAATTACATGTTGGAGTAAATACAAATAAAAGTTTAGAGAAAAATGTAGTTCGCAATAGAGAATTTCTGGCAAAATCATCAATTCAACTCTAAATTCAACCTTTCTATGAGAAATTGATTATGGATTGACGGACGGTAAAATGATGGGTCTCGGCAATATCTAATTCAACATATAAATCTCATCGAACAATCCTTAAACTGCAGTACTCCTTCTACCAGAGCCACTAAGCTAGCATCCACAAAAGCAGAGGAAATGTTTAAGATAACATCTTGATCTTCAGAATGATTCTTCACTTGGGGGAAGCGATGGAACCAGGGGACAAAGGGCAACATGGGGAGCCAGGCAGAGTTACATGCAGACAGCCAGTCAAAATGCTCCTATTAATAGTAAGTGCTGGAACAAAAGGCTGCTGTAAAGAAGTGTTTATCAGGTTGGGCCTGAAAGAGCATCCGTTAACCTGACCTCAACCTCTGCGCTGTACGGGATAGGGCTTACCCCAGGTGTCTGTTACAATATCCATGTCTGCCATCCATTGATACTCTCTCTCTCTCACACACATACACCCGCTTCTCTTTCTTTCAGCTTCTGTACCAAAGAGAGACGGAAGAAGAATCAATCCGTGTGGGCGTCTGCTACGACTTTTTGACCTAATGCACAAAACCTCAGACACACTTCAAACTGTTTTACAACACATGGTTTCCAAACAGAATACATACCATTATTATTTGTGTTGTACGTTTGATATTAATATTATGCACCTAAAACAAGCATAACGTTTTAAGTTTTAAATCACAAGATATTAAACAGCTAACATCTCAGCCCTAATTTAAAATGTTCTACAATTAAAGTATACATTTGTCTATTTTCGAAGTATTTCATTAAAATACTTGATATGAGTTTTAAGTGAGAATAAAGGTCTGTTGCAAAACATGCCATCAGCACGGCTTGCACAAGCTAAACATATTGAAGCATGAATGGAAAAGTCTCTCCCGCTGATTGTGTTTCTGTGGATGTATTCTGCCACCACAGTGCCCATGGCTGATTAGTAATTAAACAGAGCCAAAGACGATACCACAGCTCCCGTTCACCTCGGACACATATACTGAGAGAGACTGACACATGATGTAAGGTAGCTTCATATAGCAATACCAGCACACAATACACACACAAGAGGCACTTATACACATATAGGACCCTTCAGGATGGCTAGGTATGCCAGTGTTGAATAAAGGATTGAGACACATGGAGGTCATCTGTTCTCTGCAGAACTGTGGGCCTATCTGTGATATGGCATATACTGCTGATGGTATTTGTATGATCAGCTATTTTTATCCTTTGGATAACATTGGTTTATGTTTGGTTTGTGTTGCCCGGTTATGGATGTTTTGGTGTTTTTTTATCCAAAGATATTGCATTCCCCTATACAACTGTAGGTTTTCTTTTCCATAACTATTCAAAACAATTCAACAGTAGTATCAAAATAGCCTAGTAAGACACTTCCTGTTTTTTGCATGTCTACTTCCTGTCCAGTTAAGTTGCATTGTGTGGTCATTTCCTTCACTGCTCTCTATCCTACCTCCTTGGCTCCCTTCCTGCCTTTGACAGAGCAGATGGAGAGGCAGAGTCTTGCGGCTCGAGGTATGTCAGGGATGTACATATCATAGGTGAGCCATTCATTCCACCTGTAGTTAAACAAAAGAAAGAGATACAGAGAAAATGTATGAGACAAGACCAAAAAAAGTACAACAAGAACACATCTCAAATATAATCCTTCAGGGAAAGTAATGACCTAAAGAGACCTGTGCCCCCTTTCACTGCTATCACACAGGCCTATACAGTACATACAATAGAGTAGACTTGGGTTCACCAGTAATGTAATACAGCAGTTTAGTGTTACTATAGTCAGCACTTACAGTAACTGTTACCATTCCCTTCCTGCACTAGACTACTTAAGGTGAATTTGAAGTGTCAATTGTCACTTTCTAAGTCAAACAAAGAGAAAGTTAAATAGAAGTAGAAGTTATTTATATTATTGGACACTAATAATTGACTAATTTCATTGTATTTAAATATCTTTATCTTATTATTTCTTATTTGTTTAACTTGTCTCTGACTAATCATGTGTTTTAAGCATTTTGTCACTATATAATAAAGAGGTCATGATAAAAAAAGTCCTGCAGGAATGGGCTGCTTTAGTCATTTAAAAGGTATTGTATGAAGAGTTGTCAATTACCTCGGGTTAGAACAAGGTACTCTCTGCGTGTTGACATTGTCACACATCTGTTCACCTCCATGGTAAATGCCTGTTCTCACATAAATCTGTAAATATAAAAGAGAAGCAAAACAGAAGGAGAAAGGGAAACATCAATAAGAGTTGTTGGCATAGCTGCACTATAACATTGTAAAAGAGTTAACTGTTGGACACCATTGGCAACTTGTAACAGCTGTCACATTAAATGAGCTTTACCTTTATGGAGCAGTCTGACATTTATGAAAACATAACATTTGTGCAAATGATTCCTGACAGCACATCAACATGAGCTACCAGAACTGCTTTCCCTTCAAGGTCTCCGTGCACAGGAGACGTGGACAATGACTGTTTTTTTCCACAGGAAGTGACGGAGTTGGAAGATGGGACACTTTGCACAACTGAAATAACAGTATATTCATGTAATGTCTGCGCGCCCCCACCTTGTCTATGTCCCGTATATTGACGTTAACATAGGTGGCACACAGGATTCGTATCCGCAGGGTCCCGTTGATGGTCCACAGCGACTTGGCAGATGCCTCGCCATTCATATAGGATGTTGCCGTGGAGATACGTCGAGAGTACGACGGCATGACAAAGTTGTCTGTAGGCAACTGAGAGTATAAGCTGTCTTTGGCCATTAGCATCAGGTTAGGCAGCCTGCCCAGCATGATGCAACTTCGGATATACTAGAGGGAGGGAAGGAGAGAGGGAGTGACGCAGAGATGGACGGTTAGAGTCCACAGAGCTGCTAGAGTTATAGCATGCGTAAGTGTGACAGTGATATCAATTGGTCATTTTCCAGCCGCCGCGAAGTGACTGTAGAGGAAACACTGAGCCTTTGTGCACCTTCTGCTTTGATTTGGCTCACACGGACATTGTGTGTGGGATCACATTGCTGTGCTTGATGAGGGAATGGTTCCAGTGTTTTAATAGGCAATATTGCTTTGACATACTGTATACTCAATGTTTACAATAAATAAAAGATCTCAATTGGATGAGACATTGGCTATATCCTGACAGGGATTGATTTAACATCTCGGGATTAGCTTGATCCATCTAAGAGCATCCTTTGATGGTTTGATTGTTTTTTTGTGTGAGACATTCCAACTCTTCATTCTGCAGAATTTCTCGGGAAATATTTACTTTTTGTCATTCAAGTCATTTGAGGTCAAATTTTCCAAATACATTTTTTCTTCTTGTATGTCTTTATCATCTGGGGACGCCCTTACCTTATACTGGCTGATGGGGTACTTTTCCAGCAGGTACTCATCACAGCCACACACTTTGAGGATGTATTTACCCTGATATTCCTGCACACACATCTTCAGCTGCTCTGGGGACAGCAGCATGCTGCGTGTCTTCTTACGAATGGCCTCTGCAATCACCTTTAGGACAAGACACGCGCCTATATTAGACACCCTTTAAATCCCACGTGTTATATTCAAAGAGTGACGTGGTCCATAACTAATCAATCGTATTTTTCTTTTAGTCCATGTTCATCCTACCTGTTCAGGCACACAGTCGTGGTTGATCTTCAGTGTATACTTTTGTTTGTCATTGTTTGGAGAAACAATCACCCAAATCACAACGATAATCTGACCTACAAAAACATGACAGAGAGACAAAAAGAAAGGTGAGAAAATGAATCAATCAATCAAATGTTACTCTAGCAGCAACAATAACCACCCACCTTAAATTATGGTATGTATTTAGATTGACAGTAGTAGTACCTCAATCAGTCAATTATTGACCTGCCCATTACTGCAGTTCATATCCATTGTAGTAGCCGTTATTGATGGGAGGCTAAAACTTACCTCCTGCTCCCTGTTGTCTTTAAGTGCTTTTCGTGTTCTGTTTTCTATTTCATAATAATAATTAGTATATATTTTTTAATGTTCCTGTTAAACATGTTAGACTGGAAACAAGTCTCAAGCTGTTGCCTACCTTTGTCCAGCTTGCTATGGATGTGTTTTGGAAGTTCCTGTGTGGATTCTATATTGGGAGGATAAACATAGAGCGCTCTGCTGTGGGGCCCGCTGGCATCTCTCATCTCCACAGAGTCTTTACAAACATTCAGGATGTTTCTCCTGAAGTCCTGAACCTCCGGGTCCTTCACAAGGTCAAACTCACACACAGGCATACCAATGGCAAACCCTGAAAAATCCAAAGCATAGTCAGTGTTCTTTTCAACATTGGTAGGTAGTAGGTTAGAGGTAGTTTTTCTTTCTGAACAAGCATATGCACTAAGTCACGTTCCAAACTTTATTTCGTCCACATTCTTTCACAAAGAATCCAATAGAACAAGTGCTATTAGAGGAGAAAAAGCTCTCACCAATCTCTCTGTTGAGGATCTTTTCCTCTCTATTGCCAACTGGTTCAATGACCTTGAGGAAAGGCTGGAAGAGTCGGAGATCACATAACCTCCGGGTCTCATCGTAGAACTCCTCCCGCTCTGCTTCCTGCAGGCAGGCAAAACAAATGTTTTTCACGAAACCATTGGGAATTTCTGAAATAACTACATCTTCCTGTAGGTGAAGGATGGATGTTTTGTTTTTTTACAGGTGAAACAGTGTGTTTTTAAACACAAATTCTAGAGACCTATTTCTTTCTTACTTTTTTACCAGCACCTAAAGCAGCTCCAGAAACATTTATTTTCTTCATTATTAACAGATTTTCTGGGGTTAGTCCATCAAACTTTTAATTAGGGGTGCACCGAATGGGAAATTCTTGGCCGAAACCGATACCGAAAATAGGAAACAGTTGGCCGAAAACTGAATGCCGAAAGGCCGAAAATGATTAATAGAAATATTATATATTGTATACATTTTTTACCAATGTTGTTCAGCTGCCTGATTATGGAAAAAGACATGATTATGGCAAAACTTAACTTAAATAATAATC